AAAGATAGTTGTTGCTATTTTGTATTACAACAGAATGTTGTGTGTACCTTGCTTTTAAGGTATTTGTACTGCAGAGCATCAATTGGAAACGAACCGGGGTTTTCAAACAAGTTTAGGTAGACTTGATGTAATATATTGGAATTATATTGCATAATATGGTAGATGTTAGACACGGTTTAATTTGGTCCTAGATCAAATCCCTTGTAGGACACTAGGACGGAATAGATAGTATTTCGTTAAATGCGTATTCATACAATACCGGCGTTGTTTTACACTACCTACCTAAAAATATGAAACAATACATTTACACGTTTTTCGTTTTGGTTAACAAAACAAAAACACTGATATATGAGTTGCCATTATTATTAAATTAAATTATTCCTATCACACGATATTACAATATTATTTGATTCGTCTGTTCATACGACATGACAAATTTAACGCTTCTTCTTTTTCTTCAATACCCCCCTATATACCTATTAAACGATGATTGCTATCGCAGCAGGTTTTCTGTCGACTGTCACCTGAAATACACCAATACTCACACATACACACACCCACACGCACACACACACACTATAAAATAAACAATTATTATAATTCCCAACCACAATGTATATCATACGCTTCACCAAACTAATAAATATTATACGGATAATGACGTATATTAATAATATATTATATTTGAGACCGGCGCTTGGTACTGCGGTAATGTATTCAATCAGCAGGCTGTGTTTAAGTTTAGCTGAGTCAAACACAGTAGTAAGTAGAGCAACTATAATAATAATTGTTGTTGTACTTGGAATGGGGTATATAGTTTTAAGTTTTAACCACCACGTTACAGTTGCGTGCCACAACACTCGCACTACACCGCGCGCTAAACTAATAACATTGTGTTTATTGAACTCGAAACGAGGAACTCGACGTTAATAATATACGATACGACAATACGTTCTTCGTTTTTGGCGAGTCTGTATTGTGATGATAATATACTATACAGGGCGATTCAACAGACACGCACTTGTCCCATTTTATCCTTTATTGATTTATACAAATTCAGTTTTATTTTATATTTTATTCTTATTATTCTTGCGTCTTTTATATTTTCTTGTTCTTATTAATTTTTTTAAAAGTTTACTTAATGACTCACATTTTCAAATACCAACTATTATTACATTTACATAGTTCGCTACAGCGGTACAATTTTTTGTTGTTACTTCAAACAAGAAATTCCCTTTTTACTGTAAATTGATTTTCGCCGGCAGATTATTGTTTTCAAAATGGTGTGGTACCTAAATCGAAATTCTATCGAATAGTTTCACAGTGTTTGAGTTAATATTAATAGTCAATGTGGTAACTCCAGGTTTGAAAATGATGGCAATTAAGACGTATATAGTCGATAACTCCAAAAATCAGAATTTTAATGATGATTAGTTAAATTATTGTATTATTATACAATGGTAGTGCGAGTTTGCTTGTAAAGTCGCTCTGTAAATTATTTGTCGAAATGCCGGCGAACGATTTTAAGACATTCCGACCGTTGTATACATTTAAGTACCTACCAAGCATATAATTTATTATACACGAATAAATATTTATTATATTACATACTTATACGTCTTGTCATAGTGAAATGTCACAAGTACTGACCGATGGCCGGCATGCGTCGTGGGACCACTATAGGCATCAGTGCGTCACCATACACTTTGTATGTTCGAATTATTGTTTCGACTAACGTTTGTGGAGTGAATTCCCTTCGGTTTTGTGTAGGTATGCTTAAAATGATTCCATGCCTATTGGACGACCGCCACAGACCTCAATGTCACACGTTGGTTGTGTCGTATTTTGTATTTTGTTCAATGTGATGGAAAGATGTAACGAAAAGTATTTTATACTTGGATTATTCATGATAGAATTCTTGCGAGTTTATTCGAATTTCCTTTATAATAATATTGAACAAATACATCTATATACATCATTATATTGTTTATAAATTAGCCATATGATTACATCAGGGAATAAGTGTTTTTATACCTACGGCTACAACTTCTGCATAGACTATAGAGTAGAACAATTTTCTAAGAAAATACTTGTTTTGGTCCTCGTTCGCGCTAGTGATCACAGCTGTTTTCGTTATCATAAAATAGCTGTAAGTTATGGTTGTATATTTCTTAGAACACAAAACAAAATTAATGGTTTCTTCTAACCACAACCAGCAAAATTGAAGGCGCATAGTCGTAGGTCACCCATAGACATATATGTTGCTTATATATGTCTATGGGGTCGCGTCATGTTGATGAAATCGCATTGTGGTTGGACATTGAGTTTTTGGTATCATGGAATAACCAAGTTGCAACCGAGATACCAAGAATTCATTGCAGCTCAACTTTTAAACCATATTGGTTACCAGTTAAAACTATATAGTTACCACGCCCTCGCACAACACGACACACAATGTAGCAGCTGTGAATCCGGTTTGATGAGCTCAGCAGCTGCTGACGTACCTGGTTACTGGTTAATTATATCATGGAGTAGATAATAATATATTGTATAAGTTTTATTTTAGAACACACGTAGTCTTATTGAATGCTATAGTGCCGTTTTTAAGTATAAGAGGTAATTTCTCTCATAGTTGAAAAGATCTTTGAGAGTGACAACAAGACGTGTTTTTGTTGTACTTTTCTATAAATTTCACAGAATTGTTATGAAACAGGATTACAGAAAGAAAAAAATGTGATAATACCTATATGATTCGTATCGACTTTCGGTAGGTAAGAAAACAAACAATACAATAATATAAGTCAAATTTTGTAACACTACATTGCCTAATTTAACATTTAGTAAATAATAAGACATACAATACAATACCTACATGGACGACGATGCAAAGTGTACAACGAAGGTACACATTATATCATAACAAAATAAAATGTATTATGGACACTAGTGTTTTTTCCCGGTCACGATGAGCGCATAGGCCTATATTATTATGTATACCATGGCAAGCACTCTATATGTACTTGTTATTAAAACGAAATTTTGACAAATCGTTAGTAGTGGGGTGTAATTAGCGTTTCCCAGGGGTCCCTATGATACGCGTAGGTATATATATACGCACTGAGATAATAATAATGATGTCACGTGCGTGCACATATTGTTATATTATATTCGTTATATTACACACATAAGCTATGATATAAAGCTTAATGTTGTGCAAGTCGATTTTGGCGAGGAGGGGAGATTAAACATTAAAACGAAACCGCTTATATATATTAAAGAGATCGAAAATTCATACGTGTGACCAAAGGTACCCATATTATCGGCGTGTACATTTCGCCTATATTTGAGCGTAATTTAAAAATATTGTAGTCGCTCAACGAAAAGACTTATTATGCGTTTATGACTAATATAATACGTCTATAATGTACCTATATTATAATTTGTTACGAATAGAATATTTTCTTGGTGGGTCTTTATTTTAGTTTATTTTTAGTTTATATTTTAGTATTAATCATTATTACATAGTGTTTTATATTTTTGTTCGTCATCGCCAATGGAAAAAGTATGTACTAAAAAACAAAGAAAAGAGTTTACACAGATTCCCGTAGATTAGTACGCCTGCAACCTGAGTTATTTTATTCGTATACTCTTGATATATTTTGGTTTAGATGTTTTTTTTTTTTTTTTGGGCACGGACCCAAAGCAGAAATCTGGGGGGGGGGCCTCAATTTTTGTTAATGTAGAATTACAATATTGGAATCACTGTCCACCATGAACTAAGATGGTACTATCTTAGTTTGTGCACCTCATGATACGTATTATAATATTATATATTATATATTATATTATCACTCATACATGTAATTTGAAATATAGTTATTTCAGGACCTGTAGAATTATTAAAAAAATTTAGAAAAACTGTCCACCATGAACTAAGATGGTACTATCTTAGTTTGTGCACCTCATGATACGTATTATAATATTATATATTATATATTATATTATCACACATACATGTAATTTGAAATATAGTTATTTCAGGACCTGTAGAATTATTAAAAAAATTTAGAAAATAATATTCTACGGAGGGAGAGGGACAGGACCCCTAGGCCCCTTTGATCCGTCCCTGGTTTTATGTGCTGTTATAATCACTTTGCTTATGATGTCGTCTGGCTCATATTCTTTAATTAGGTACACAATTTAACGAAAAATGGCTGCACCATAACTGCATATTATATTATATTCCTATTATATTATATTATATTATATTACATCTATAATAACTGCATCCATACTTGCATGTCGAACATAAGCCTGTTATACGAATACAATGCAATTATTTTCTTACAACGACCTATGGCTGGACATGTATTAAACTAAAATCCAAAATACTGTACCAGTATAAAATGTATTTAGATTTATTTGTTTTAAACAGATTATTTTGAACCAAAAATATTATTTATCAAATTTAAAAATAAATTTTGCAGGACTGCGTAATTTCAAGTCTTCTACGTGAACTTTTAACCTGAAAAAATATTAGTATTCTCATTTGATTTTTCTGTCGGTTTTTCAGTATTTAAGGATCCATTCAAAAATATATATAATATTTGATTAGATAAAAACCATGTTAACAAATTACATTTTTTTTACCTAAAAATCATTTTTTAAAAAAAATAGTTTTTAGTGTGAGATGCTCTACGCCTCTAAAACCCCTAAAATGCTCTAATAAAAAAAAAACAATACAAATTGTCAAAAAATGCAAAATTACAACTTTTTATTCTGAATCAAAATCACATGCAACGTATATGTTATAAAATGAACATCCCTAGTATCGGGAAACTACTATGAAAACGTGCATCGAGGTCCTAGCCTAGAAATGGCCACTACCCCTCCATATCGTAAAAAAATAATTTTTTTCAAAATTTATCGACAATGTGTTTTTAAGATTATAGACATCGATTTTTCGGAATTTTTTGGTAACGGTTGTGTCTTGTCCGCAGGTCCGTGTGATGGGTGCGCCGGAAGACCGCGGCCGCCATGTTTGTCAGACGGCGGACGTTGTTCGCGGCACCACTCAGCGCGGTGCGGTACGGCGCCCGGTGCGGTGTGCGACGTGTGCGGCTCGGCAATCGCGGTCGGCGACCGGCAGCGGCTGTGGCTGCTGCGACAGCTGAGGTGGCGGCGGCGTCGTTGATAAGGCGCCGGTGGCGGCCAGCACCATGGTGGTGTCGCCCGCAGGATGAAGAAGCAAAACGTCCGCACATTATCGTTGATCGTTTGTACGTTCACCTATCTGCTCATCGGCGCCGCCGTGTTCGACGCCCTGGAGTCCGAGACGGAGATACGCCGGAAACAAGCGCTGGACTGTAAGTTTCCGGACCACCGGCCGCAGAATATAATAATATATAAGTTTACTTAGCAAAGTCTTACCAGCTCTTCTACCCACGAGACCCGCAGCCCACCACACCCTCACCACAAATGGCCCGAATCAAGAATAAGACTATTTTAGTTATGGGTATATAGTGCTAAACTGGTAGAAGAAAGTCGTTCTCGCTTCTCGACTCTCGAGACGTATGCGACGACGGTGTGAGCGACCTAGACCTCTTCCTATATATATATGATAAAGACATAATATATTATTATGCGGTCTGCTGGATGTCGTATAACCTATTCAAATCATATTTTATCACGTAAAGATTGTTTACGTTCGTTATTAATCGGTGGTCTTGAGCATTTTTTTACCTAACTTGCAACAAATAAAAACAATATACACACTACAAAGTACTACACATCTACATTAATATTGTTCCGTTGTTAACAAATAACTATTTAGTTATTTAATAAAATAATAAATTCCACGCTAGGATCAGATCGGAATAAAATGTAATAAATAAAAATGATATTTCATCATACTTCGTAATGTTTAAACTCAATTCTAAAACTTACTCGATCCGTTATTGGGTCATTACCCACTAGTTTAGATAGCTGTTGTGGGGAGGAGGGGGGGGGCTCGTGGTTTGTAGTTTATGCTACGATAGCCACCCAAACTCTTCACCACCAACATAATATTATGTCCATTATAACTATTAACTCTAAACGGTTGTACACGATTTCGGATTAACTATATAGAATATCGGTTGAATGTTGTGTATCGATATTTACAGAATATTAAATCGAAAGTTGATATTTTAAACGATTTCCAAAGATAAAAATTTTTTTTTGGAATAATCGATAGATAATTAGGTGTTATAAATAAGTATGCACTATGGCAATTTATCGTATAAAAAATAAAATGTTGAGTATTTTTTCGTCATCAATAATTAATGTCAGACCTATTTGAAATGTAATATTATACGGCAACACACATTAAATCATATATTGTATGTACAGCGAATTAGGGTATGCCACCCTGCACCTCAGCATTACACTGACCAGTATCAGCATTGAGTCTATATTATCCTAAACCTCTATAAATCATCACTATTGAATAGTGCCGGACAGACCGAATTCGTTTCTACTGAAATACGTTAACATTAGGCCTGTGGCTTACCTATTATATTATCATTCGAAAAGGAATAGACATCGGGGTCATCGTCAACATCCCGCGATTCGGAAAAATGACAAGGTAAATGTTTTTTTGTGTATGGTGCTTGACGTTGTGTTGTATGAATTATATTATACTATAATATATTACATACAACTTTCAACTGTGGAAACACCATATTTTCGGTCAAGGGTGGATGTGTATTTTTCTCACGCGCGTACAACTGTCTTGTGTAGGTGATTTTTTCTCACGGAAACTTGGACACGCTGACAAAATTCCATTATTACACCCAGTCACGGGGTCGGTGGCTTAAGGTTCGTCTGCAGGGAACACCCTGTACAAAGGAAAAGTGGAAAATAAAAATAATAATAATAATAAATAAACGAAAAGAAAAACATACATTCGTATACGCACACAAACACAATACATTACGCGACTTGAGTGCATGTTTCGTATTTTCTACACAAAATTCTGTCCATACAAAACCTTTTTACTACGCCGTCATGGTTCGACAACGTTTTATAAATGATACCGTTCAGAGAGAACCCGAAAATATACGAGTATCCACTTAATGTTTCCCATCTGCTTTTGTTAGCCATTAGGATTTTGATAAAATACTATACAATAAATTATATATGTATAATATTATGCACTATTATGCTATAACATTATATTAGTATATTATCTATATGTAAAAAAAATACTGCGTATTTGGATTTAGCAAACGATCGTCAAAACTCAAAAGTAATTTCCATAATATTATTACGTTATACGAATCTATCTTTTGAAAAAACCGCATTGTATTCATTTTTATATAATACAATTTTTGAATCCAACAGTTATTTCTATGTCAATACAAATTTATGTTTGGATTTTTAATCTTCAATATTTCGGTAAATATTTACGACTACGACACAGTAATAATCCTGTATATCAAAATTAGTTTTATGAAGTCAGTTTAGTTATTATATGTACAGCTCCTGGCTCCAACCGAATTGATGCATATAGGTAATACTATCATACTTAGGTTTCTCGCAATATTAGCACTGAGATACTACTTTGAAGGGAAATTTCGTTAAAATCTGTAGTACCAAACTCATCTTGATGTCGAACTTGTGAGCTGTGCCAAAGTACTTGAGGTATTTTAGCTGAAAAGTTAACAATTTTTACAGAATACAAATTGATTTAGTAAGCTTAAGAATTATGATCATACAAATCATATATGTATTGAAAAATATTGAATATAGAGTTAAAGAGAAAAGTTTTTATAATATTCAGAAAATACGGAGTACTCGTAGATAATAATTGAAACATATTTATAAGTTATTCGAGTTGAAACTTGTATGGATATCAAAATGACAACAATTTAAATCGATAATTACAGTTGTAATTAATGATTATTCCGTATGAAAACAAACCATATTTATTTATTCTGTGCTCAATAAAGATAATTAAAAATCCATAAATCATTTTGTCAGCTAAATACTTTCAATTTGTTTAAGTATATGAATACAAAAATTAAATTAAACAAAAATAATAATATTCAAATATAAAAAATGTATATCTGATGATATAAATTTAAAGGTACAAAATTACCTAATTTTATAAATTAAAAACTACCATGGGGTTCAATGAAATACGTCAATCAAAACTACTCCTCGGTAATGAATTACACTCACATTGGACGTTTATATAAACCATGTATTATGCACATGAATGGAGTATATTATAATCTAATTACACTTGGGGTTAAAAATAGCTGATGTACTATGTTTATAACGAGAAGATTCGGTATTTATTTAGTAGTCGTTAGTTAATGATTAAACGTTTTACATTTTCTACCTATTCATTCATCATTGGTATAATAAAATCAATACAGATAATATTACAATTATATTATTATATTATACGGATAAAATCATCTCAACGGGGATAAATATTCTTTTTATTTTTAAACGAAGTTAATTAATTATTAATTACTAATTATTATACTATAGATAAATGTTTCATCAACGTTATTGGATTTCAACACAAAAATATCTTATTGCCGAAGTATGGCTATTATAAAAGGTCATCTCTTTGAAAAGGCTTCATTGAAATGTTGCCTGTAAATTATTTTAAAGACCATGTGACTATTCAGAATTGACTTCAGAGAAAATGTAAACTAATTTCTGAAAGATTATTATTTTATAAAGTTCTAAAAATAATTAAAAGCATCAGAGAAGCCATTAACATTTATAATGACAGTGCATCGATTGAAAACATCAATAATATGTAATCATAAATAAAAATTGTGATGCAATTGCATTAACAATTTATTATTTTAATTTAAATAAAACATAATATACTTAATAAGTAGAAATACATAATATGTTCAGTTGATTTTACTCAATTAATAAAAATGATTGTTTTTAGAAAATTTATATAAATTACTCAATTTGTCTTACTGCCTAAAATTTAAAAAAAATGGAATTAATGGGTTTTTACTTTTTAAGCCATCCCCAATTTCTTATCATAATCAACAATGAAAAATATTATTTTCTTATAGTTACACAGCGTTAAGTATACTACTGTTAGCACAATTTTTATGATAGAGTTTTATATTTAATTTTTTTTTTTTTAGAAATATTTACAATATTACTTAATTTACTTAATTTAATAAGTAGATTTAATGAACGTATTGTAATTACAATAACATAAACTATTAAATGACATGAGTAGAAAAAATATCCATTTTTAGCAAGCAACGTGTATAATATACAGGGTGATTCACCAAGCATACTCTCTCTAATTTTTTCCTTTAATAATAGTTGTATTCAAATTCTAAATTTTGGATTTTTTAAAAATATTCAAAGGCAATTTTTCAAATTATTGAATTTGCTTGTACTATTTTCACGTGTATTTACTATTTAGTAACCTGGGTTGACAGAATATTCTGGTTTTCAAATGAGAACCCCCTATTTATTTTGTACTTTAAATTATTTAGTGGATTATTTTTTCGAAAATGTTAGTATACTTAATTCAAAATTTAACCGAGTAGTTTCTGAGTTATTGAAAAAGTGTGTATACCTAAGGGTAACTGTCCTTAAAAATGGTTTTACAAAAATTTCAATTAGTCGTCATATTGGATCTAGTATTTATTATACTTGTGCTATTTTTACAAATTATTTATGTGGACAGATTAATATTAATCACTACAATTTTCCAATTACCATAGCCCCTCTATTTTACAAACACAATAGAATGGACCTATTATTCTCAGTGCGGAAAGTACTAACTAAATAATCCAAACACTCTACTCGTACCAATTTTGATTTCTGATAGGTCAAAATGTATTCAGAAAAATTGTTTTTAAAATATTTTACTGCAGAAAATGGGGGTTTACATTTGTAATACAGAAGTTTATATCTCCACACAACACTCCTTAAGTAGTATAAACATTTTCTTAAATAAGAAAATATGGTTATATTTAAAAATTTCAAAAATTGGATTTTGAGTAACTGCAATTATTGATGAAAAAATAACGAACTACGCCATGTATAATAATAGTAATAACAACACAATTAAAGTTATAATAATAATTATATCTCGAATTTTTGTGAAAATACATAATATTATCGAATACAAACCTTTTTAATTCTTATTAAAAATAATTATATTCTAGAACAACCTGAATAAAACAAAAGCTATTATTTTTTTAAATTTGTTTTCGTATCTTATGAAGTAAATTTATATTCTATAACATATTAATAGTAGGCACATAATATTATTTCGTAAGAATTTAATATTTTTATACTTACCTATTGACAGACATATTGGCAC